CCCTAAACCCTAAGCCTAAGCCCCAAACCCTAAACCCTTACTAAACCCTAAACCCGAAGCCCCAAACCCTAACCCAGCAACCAAAAAAAAAGGGCTGCCAGGCTCAACCCAGAGTCCCGACAGCTGCCAGCATGCACGACCTGGGTGGTCTGAACTGAGCATAGAAAGAGGGTTTAGGGTTTACCCGAACACGCATCGAGCTGCTTTTAGGGGCCTTGGTCAGTAGAACAGGGTTACCCTTAACCCTTAACCCTTAACCCTAAACCCTGGAGTTCTACAAGGGATGTGTAATAAACCGGGCTTCGAGAGCTCAGGGCCTTACTTGATTCCCTAAGGGTCCAAGTACCTAATAATCATATACTCTCCAAAATGCTAACCTACAGAACTACTATCCTAAAACCGAGTACCTAATTATTGGGTCCTTTGGACCCTTCGGGATTACTTTCTCGACACCCAAGGCACATGCAGTTGGTCGGCGCCGCCTCAGTGGCGAAGCTTTCCAACCCTTCAGTCGGAGATACGCCCGTCAGCCCTGGCCTTGAACCTGACCCGGTTTAGGGTTTTTTTATAGGGGAGTTAGGGGTTTAAGGTTTAGGGTTTAGGGGTTTAAGGTTTAGGGTTTAGGGTTTCTATAGGGGAGTTACGGGTTTAAGGTTTAGGGTTTAGGGGTTTAGGATGTGGGGTTTAGGGTCTAAACCCTAAACCCTAAACCCTTAATTTTCTAAAACCTACCTTCGGCTCTCTCAGGTTGCCTAGCTTTGCCTTTACGGTTCCTTCTTAATTCCCAACCACCCCCAAACGAAGGGTTGAGGGTTCAGGGGGTGCGTTCTTGATTGGGTTTAGGGTTTAGGGTTTAGGGTTTAGGGTTTAGGGTTTAGGGTTTAGGGTTTAGGGTTTAGGGTTTAGGGTTCCGTTCGAAGGTTGTTGCGAGGCTCCAAGGTGGATAGTATGGGAGCCGCTGGCAGAGAGGTTTAGGGGCTTTAGAAGACCCCTACTAGGTCTTGAGTTTATGGGGTTTACGGGTTTTAGGGTTTAGGGTCTGGGGAGTCTGTGAGTATACGACATGTGGACCCGCAAGGACCTGCTTCAGCATCTAAAACCCTATCCCCCCAATACTATTCTCTGATTGGTTTCTGAACCCTAAAAGCCTACTATTTGGGAACTTGGACCCTTAGGGTATCTCTATTGCAGATTGGATTTTGGTCAACACAGTTTACGAAAAGGATATGCGTAGTTTTGTGTGATATAGTGCTCGTTAACAAAAAACCAACCACAATGGACACGACAGGTCATGTTCCACCCTTTATACAGCCGTAGAACTGTCCGTGGAGTGTTGTCGTTCTTGCGATTAGGGCTTGGGAATTCAGGTAACACGGGTTTTCACGGTGCGCTCAAGGTTTAGGCTTCAAGAAGCCTTGGGTTTGGGGCGGGACTGCTTTCCACTTTGCTTCCCGACTAAGCCCGGCGCAGTGATTGATCCAGTTTTGGCAGAACAAAGGGGTCTCCAGCGTTGCCTCTTTGCCGCAGCCGCAGCAAGTCCACGATTCCATCGCCATTTAGTGGGGGTTTAGGGTTTAGGGTTAAGGGTTTAGGGTGCTTAAAGTCTCGATTTGTCCGTTTACGGGTTCAGCGTTAAGGGTCTGGGTTCAGGGCTTGGTGGAGCGAGTCTATCTTTGCAATCTGGCTTCCTGCCCCCGCCAAGGGCTCGGTCCCGACACAGGCACGAAACCAAAAACATCGAAAGCCTAAGCCAAAGAAAGCGCGTGCACTGTCTGTCAGAGTTCTCTAAGATGTCTACAAGGGGTTCAGCGGGTTCTAATCGGGGTCCTTCCACAGGAAGTGAAGCATCGACTGCCCCCTCTCACCAAACTTACTCCTAGTAGAACTTCTGACGAACACCCACTGCGCGGCTAGAGAGCCAAAAATGTCGCCATCGATGCCGGCAACTTTCCATGCCCGATAGAAGCCTAAGGCTGCAGGGAAACCGACTTTGGCCCCTAAGCCCTAAACCCTAAACTCTAAACTCTAAACCCTAAACCCTAAACCCTGTACCCTGTACCCTGTACCCTGTACCCTAAACCCTAAACCCTAAACCCTAAACCCTAAACCGTTGCAAGACTTCAAGCCCGATAGAAGCCTAAGACTCCAAGCAAATTGTTGTTAATGTATCTCAAAGTTAGGGTCTAGGGTTTAGGGTCTGGAAGGTTTTTTAGGGTTCTCAAAGTTAGGGTTCAGGGTTCTCAAAGTTAGGGGCATTTTATACCGTTGCGGGTATGGGACTTTCGGCGAAAGGGTTCAGGGCCCTTAATAATTAGAATAAGGTTTTCGGGGGTTTAGGGGTTTAGAGTTTAGCGTTTTGGGAGGGGTTTAGGGTTTCGGGGTTGAGGGCTTTAGGGGTATAGGGGTTTAGGGGTTTAGGGTATGATTAATGTAGGGGCCTTAA